AGATAGTACGGGGAAGCTTCTCCCTGTACTATCTCTCAGAGGAAGGGGGGGTGGCAGATGCTGCTGTGGCTATGGAAACATATTACATATTCCACCCTAAAAACAGTTGGAACATGTAACATGTTCCAAAGGTGAACTTATCCTTTAAGTCTGAAGAATATAACTGAGCAGGGGCGGATTGACAACTCATGGGGCCCCCAGGCAATAGGGGATCATGGGGCCCCTGTGTCCTCACCCACACTCAAACCATACCCAAAAAAGCCTATGTAAGGTACCAGGGGCATCTCATGGGGCCCCCTACTGACCCTGGGCCCTCGGGCAGTGCCCGAGTTCCCCAATGGTCAGTCTGCCCTGTAACTGAGTTATCCTGAAAGCTTGCATCTTTAATAACTCAAATTAGCCAACAACGGCTACCATCACTTAGCCCTGGTTCAGACTGATGCGGTGCGGAATTTGCAGTATTTTCTGTGCGAATTCCGCACCGCATCAGAATCACACCCCATTCATGCGAATCACTGTGGGTGTGTATGTTAAGTTAACAATACCCCAAAGACGGTCCGCAAAACATGGTGCAATGTGCAGAATCAGATCGCATAGGCATAAATACCCATGCGATCTGATTCTAGTGTAAACCCAAAAAAGGGTCTTGCACCTTTTTGGTGCGGGTGCGGTGTGATTGGAGCCATACAAAATGTATGGCTCCAATTGCACCACACACAAATCACATGTGATTTGCACAGGAATGCGGTGTGGTTCCTGTGCGAATCAGATGCAATATACCTCACCGCATATATGTGAACCCAGGCTAAAACTCCAAGCTTTGTGCATTAATCAATGGCTAACATGGTACACAGCCCTCTACTACTGCCATCTCTGCATCTAATAATGGAAATGCAGTGTGGATTTATGTTAGGTTGTGAATGGTGAATGCAGTTTTCAATGCACCCAATTATGTCAAAAGAGGAAAAAAAATTACAATGACTTTGTAACCTTTATGCTTAGTGGTGATTTCCTCAGACAAGTATTTTTACACACTCCGAAGTGTGTAGTCCTTGATTTTGACATTCACAACAAGGCTATGTTCTACTTGCTTACCAATAATTTTTTCTTTGTATCAAATTATGTTGAAAAAACAATGAGTAAGCACAGTACTGGATTCTAAGACTCTTATGTATAGGAAAGCTGAATATTCTAGCAAATACTTTGTTTTCTCCTTCAAGGTTTTTTTTTCCATTTATTTTTGTATATAAAGTTAAATATATGTGATATAAATCATCATCTATGTACTATATTTAATTTCCCAGAGCCTTAAAGCAGACCTTTGATCATTTAAACCTGTTACTTTTGTATAATTTCATGGTTCATTAAAAATGGCCTATTATTAAGATACATATATTCAAGTTATTTGGTTGCTTCCTGTACATTAATTCCTCCGTACTACCACACCATGTAGAGGTAGAACGTATGAAATAAGCACTCTGGTTCTTAAGAAAGTCACAAATGTATAATAGGCGTTAGGTGGTGATGAAAGGTCCTCTTTAACAGCTGATGGTCACACAAAAGCTATCTATCATACCAAAGTCTTCGTCTGTAGCAGGCAAGGCTGGCTGCACCTTTGGTGGTTTTATATATACCACTGTACAGTTGGGCTTGGGAGCTGGAGGACAACGTGGTATCAGAATACCTCCTTGTTAAAGAAACAGGCACTTGTTAAGTCACCATAAAGTTTTCCCAATATTGTAAACATGTACGTCTATATATATATTAAAGCCGATTTTCAAATGTTTGCAATTAAACTAAAATGACATAAGCTGATGCGTAAGGGTCAGTCCACCAAAAATTGATATATCCAGTTGAGAACTCTCACGGCAGTAGTTGCTGGCTCCCTCCTCCCTCCTTTCCCTTTCCTCCAACAGCAAGGGGGGTCTCCCTTATAATAGCTGTGGCTAGTGGGACTTCAAGCACAGCAAACTCTTCAACAAAAGCAATGGATAAGTACTATGGCTGACTGAACCTTTAACATAGAAGGATCAATGACACAAAGCTGGGCAGTGATGTCAAAATGATTGTTAACAGTGAGGTTAGTAGTAATAACTTCCAGAAGCAATACATAATGTAACAGTAAAAATTAACCCAGCTGGATAACCCAGTTGTAAATGGAAAACAATTCTGCAAACTCCACATATACTTTCCATTTAAAATTAGACGTATATGATTTTTATCTATGGATGGTTGCTAATTGAATATTAGCTGTAACTGGTGGATACTGTTCAAAACATTATAGTCTATTGTGACTGCTTAGATCTACTGTATGTTTCTGGACTTCTGCTAAACTAGTTGCCCAGCTGCTAATCCTATGACTTTAATACTTTATGAGTTACTCATTGCCTGAGGACACATAGCCACTGAAGTCAGAAATCCTACTGAAAAAATAATGAAGCCATTCAATCAATATGAGAGCCAGGCATTTTTAGAAGTATAGGCCAGCAATAACAACCTATGTATTTTTTAGTATAGCTGTTCTTTAAAGAGAACATTTGCCTCAAGCGGTAAAATGACAGGGCACCTCCCACCCACTGGCACTATCACTCCCCCACCACTGAGTGCAACCCTGTGTAAGCTCCACAACATCAATAAGGGAGCTTACACAGGGTTAATGACCTTCTCCCTTCCTTTATATGACAGTGTCTGGAAAAAGGTCACAATGCTATCCCATGCTGAAAATACTCGGTATCGTTCAGCAACCTTTAAATACATGGAGCAGTGGGAAAGTGTGGCAAAAGTAAGTATCTGTGTGTGGGGTGCCCTATTAAGAAAATGGGTAAAGTGACAGATTCTTGTTAAAATAAAACTTTGGGAAAGGCTCAGAGGCTATATTAGGTTTTAAAGATGTATCTCTGTTGGGAAAGTTTTCCTTACTTCCTGTCCATGTAACATGTGTTTTGTAGGCCTAGTCCAGATTATAGTGTGTTGACAAGTACTTAACCCTTTGCAGCTGCCACCCCAGGATCTAAATGCTGGTGGAGGAGAACTTGTGACCACTGTTATTGACTGTCATAGCAGTCACCTGATCAGAAACTCCCTATTGCAAGTATGGATCTACAGCTGCCATGAAATCTTAGACACAGTACAACTGGGTATCCTCAATTCAGAACAAAGCAGCACCATAGAAGACAGTAATGGCATTTGGCATCTGAAAGTGAGGGCTTAATTTCTATTGAGATGGCTAACATAGAAAATCAGTGATTGCTTACACACTTAACCAATCGGTGTGACACCTCTGGCTCTTTATAGCTTTACCTAAATCCTCTTCTCTGCAGGCTACGCAAGGAAGTCAGTTCTTGACTTTTTTTGGACAGTCTTTGAGATGGTTAAGTAGCTTCACTTAATAAATTGTGTGAATATTCACTTAAATTATTCAAGCAAATTTTCTGTTGAATACCTAATCATGTACATATGAATTAAGTAAACAGAAATTTAAAGTTGATTGCATAACAGAAGTATTTACACAATCTAATGAGTGAACATTCTCAACTCCTTTACTAAATCTTTTGAAATCCTTCAAACATTTTATTATTTTAAAATCATACTAAATATTACAGTAGTGCATCTTTTTTTATGTTTTCATGTACAGTGTGTATTGCATTGTGTTGGCACCACAATGCACATATTCAGTGTTACAGCATCTTGTACTGGAATGCACCATGATGTACATAATGTATGTTTTGGTGAGCATAATTGCCAAAAATGCTGCAGGTGTGCTTTTTTGTGCATTGAGGTTTGTTGTGAGCCTATTCAATATTATTGGGCTACCTTAACACAGCACACCTCAGTTGTGTATCTTATATTTTTAGGTATGAATGTAGCCTGAGTTCATAACATTTGAACATGGCCTAAATTCACTAGCTGAAGTACTGTAAGTTAATAGTGGCATGGTATTGTTGCATAATTTGATTGATAAAACACTATCCTGGTTCAACAGCATTTTATAATTTAAATGTATACACAATACATATACTGCTGCATAGATTTGAAATGAAAGATGCATTTTGCCATTATTCACTGCTTTATTGTTTATAGGATAATAGAATAGCTTCTGGGAAGTTATGGCACGTTAGTCTGGTGCTCACCTATATCCTGCATCAGCCTTTCAAACAGTTTGATGAAAGGAATAATACTTTTAATATGTGTCCTACTAGGACATTATTTTTTTGTCACAATACAGCTGATTTTTCAGTTAGGCAATCATTATATCGCCCGTTACATCACTTTCTGTAAGAAAATTTTATAATAGGCTAGAGAAATTCCTATCACAACTTTACAGAACAGTGCAATTGTGATAGGAAAAATACTGTTGGGCTTGTAAATGAAAAATACATAAATATAATTTGTTGTTGCCCACAGCAACCAAAACGCTTCCAATTTGATTCCTGCAGTGCAGTAAAAATGGGGGATTCTGCATAGTTACTTTGGGCAGGAAGGCATGTTCTTGGTAGTACCCAACACCCAATGACAGTATAAGGTATCATATCCTCTTAGGTAAGCATTTGGACAAATCAAAGCTGCCTGTGACATTTTGATAATGTGTGGATTGATTATTATTATTTGCCATTCACAGTGATGACCAAATCTGACATATACGGACATCTCAGGCAGATGAACTGAACTGAACTCAACTGAATACACTGACAGACACATAAAATGATTTAGCCCTTGAACAATTGCATCATCTATTTGAATAATACCTTAGTAGGTAGGTAGGTAATGATCAGGCAGGAAAGTCTGTAGCAAGCCATACAAATTAGGATTATCAATAGAGAAGAACTGAATAGAAAAGGTAATCTGCATGTGAATGGGTTTCTTAACACTGATTAAACAAATTGTTTGTTTCTTGGCTGATGCAGTTTTAATTAAGTGTGTGGTAGATATTGCAAAACACTAACATTTTTATTTTGAATTATGACAATAAAATACACAGTATAAGATGGGAAGGAACATACCTGTAGGTACTGGTTTAGCTGTAGCATTAGCAGGTGGTCTCCTGCGAATGGTGGTTGGTTTCACAGGAGAAAGTGGTGGTGACGATACTGTGCAAACACAACAATAACAATGAGAAAAATGATCACAATTAGAGATGAGCGAATTTCTCAAAAATTCGATTCGGCTGATTCGGCGAATTCCAGTGTGAAATTCGATTCGATGCGAATTTCTTCGCTACGAAGATGACTTATAAAAAGGGTTTCTAGGCTTCAGAGAGCCTTTAAATTAGTGCAGAACACTGTACCTTTAATTTAAATTCCCTTGGAGATGAGGAAAGAGAAGGAGAAGGAGAAGGATGAGAAGAAGGAGAAGGATGAGAAGAAGGAGAAGGAGAAGGATGAGAAGAAGGAGAAGGAGAAGGATGAGAAGAAGGAGAAGGAGAAGGATGAGAAGAAGGAGAAGGATGAGAAGAAGGAGAAGGATGAGAAGAAGGAGAAGGATGAGGAGAAGAAGGATGAGAAGAAGGAGAAGGAGAAGGATGAGAAGAAGGAGAAGGATGAGAAGAAAGAGAAGGATGAGAAGAAAGAGAAGGATGAAGAAGAAGAAGAAGAAGAAGTAGGATGAAAAGAAGAATAATTCCAAGCCGGCAAAAAGTGTATGTGCAGAGTTCCTCTATTTCTGACAGTTCTCTCACAGCTTCTTCACATGTACAGCGGTTGAAACATCTGTATCCTAAATGGAAACTAATAGATACAAATTGTATCTATTAGTTTCCATTTAGGATACAGATGTTTCAACCGCTGTACATGTGAAGAAGCTGTGAGAGAACTGTCAGAAATAGAGGAACTCTGCACATACACTTTTTGCCGGCTTGGAATTATTCTTCTTTTCATCCTACTTCTTCTTCTTCTTCTTCATCCTCATCCTCATCCTCTTCTTCTGAGGATGAAGATGAAGAAGAAGAAGAAGTAGGATGAAAAGAAGAATAATTCCAAGCCGGCAAAAAGTGTATGTGCAGAGTTCCTCTATTTCTGACAGTTCTCTCACAGCTTCTTCACATGTACAGTGGTTGAAACATCTGTATCCTAAATGTAAACTAATAGATACAATGTTTCAACCGCTAAACATGTGTTCCTTCTGTCAGAGAACTGTCAGAAATAGCGGAGCTCACTGCAGGGACACTTTTGCCGGCTGATCGGGAAATGTTCGATTCGCGCACCCGAAGTAGGCAAAATTTCGGTTTCGCCGCGAATCGAATATTTCCTGAAATTCGACTCGAATTCCGGTTCGCCTGGTTCGATTCGCTCATCTCTAATCACAATAATAATATATATTTCCTATACATCTACATCCAATTTAAACTCTCTCTCTCGATCTATATATGCTGTATATACTGTTTATGAATATTTCTTTTTATGAGTGGGGCAGCTATGTCCCCAGGCCATGTCCAGCTAGGTGCTTTGTGGCCTTTACAGCTCCACTAATCCTATTTAATGAATAAAATAACAGAATGACTTTATTAAATGCACTGTTTATGTTATAGCAAGAGCACTTAAAAACTTGATTTTCACTAATTGTATTTCTGTATTTTACATTGTTCAATAAAGTTTGCCTGGTGATGTAATCTAATGACATTTTGTCTACTTTTTTTTAACAGAATAAATGCTGTACTTAAGTCAGTGGATGAAAAAGTGAATGTAAAGCAGGTGAAAAGTGAGAATAAAAAATGAACACAAATTTGGTGTGAACATGATCAGCAAAGTTGGCTAGGAACTCTCTAACCTTACAACATACCTGTCACTCTTGGTCTCCCTGTTACATTGTTATACTGAAATCTTCTACGTATGGAAGTTGGTTTTACTGGGGGCAAAGGTGGTGAAGATACTGTAGAAATAACAAGATCATATTAAGAGCAGTTCAGACCATAGACTATACTTGAAGCAAACCTGTGATTTGCTCATGCAGGAAAAAGCAACAGGTTAGCTTAAGGCCTTGTTTAGATTTGCTTTGCTGTGTGAAGCACGATCTGCATTCAAATTACTCGTCAGACACAGCAAAAGACAGGCAATGAGGAGGTGTTGTTTCGCCTCCCCGCCACCTGTTTTAACCCCCTATTAATCTGGCAACCATACTGCAACTGTGCGCATTGTGTGCGGTTGCAGGGCAGTTGCAGTGTGGCCCTTTCGACTTGAATGGGTTATGCTCCTCGCCGAGTTCCACAGGGGTATGATTCTTTCCAAAATCGCAAAGCATTGTTACCACAGCATTTGTACACCCCAGCTGCAGCCTCAGTAACAACAGGGGAACAGTAAAAATGTGGCTTAACCACTGGGTTTCACCGCCCATCAATTGCAAATGTAAACAAGACCTTAATATCCCACACCACAGCAGAACATACTCCCCTTCCTCTATCTTCATTACTGTTTCATCAAGCTGCTGGGAGTGAGGAAATTAAGGCAGGTGTAACCTCTGAGTCAATCTGGTCTGAGTCAATCTGGTTCCAATAACAAAATGGAAAGTAAATGAAAGAAGAGATAATCAAATCCATATTTTGGTGTGACCACCCTTTGCCTTCAAAACAGCATCAATTCTTCTAGGTACACTTGCACACAGTTTTTGAAGGAAAACATCTTGGTGAACTAACCACAGATCTTCTGTGGATGTAGGCTGCCTCAAATCCTTCTGTCTCTTCACGTACTCGCAGACAGACTCAATGTTGAGATCAGGACTCTGTGAGGGCCAAACCATCACTTCCAGGATTCCTTGTTCTTCTTTACATTAAAGATAGTTGGCTGCATTGGCTGTATGTTTAGGGTCATTATCCTGCTGCAGAATAAATATGGGGTGAATCACACGCTTCCCTGATAGTATGGCATGATGGATAAGTATCTACCTGTATTTCTCAGCATAGTCTCACCAAGTCTCCAACTCCATTTGCAGAAATATAGTCCCAAACTTGCAAGGTACCTCCATCATGCATCACTGTTGCCTTCAGACACTCATTATTATACCGCTCTCCAGCCCTTCTGCAAACAAACTGCCTCTTGCTACAGACAAATATTTAATCGGTCCAAAGCACCAGGTGCCATATTTCTGCATCCCAGTTTGTTTGTTTTGTGTGCATAGTTGAGTCACTTAGCCTTGTTTCCACATTGGACAGTAGATGTATGTACCTGGGTCACACTGGTTTCTGCCTGTTCTGTGCTGATGGCACTACTGGACATCTTCCATTTTCAAAAGGAAGTAAGCATAATGTGTCTTTCATCTGTTGCATTAAGTTTCATTGGCCAACCATTTTGTCTATGCAGTATAACTAACCTTGTTGCGAGTACCGTCTTTGCCTGGTGTATGACCCTGGTCCACCATACTTGGTATAGATTGCCAAGGCAATACACTTGAATCTATTCCTGCAAAAAATCCCTTACGTTGTGTGCAAGTATACAAAGGTGGTGACAACTGTAAGAAACTGATTTACGAGGTTTGAAGCCAAATGGTAGTCACACCAAATAAACGTTGTCTGCTTATTTGTGCTTCTTTAAAAGAGCTTGAACGCACATCTTGAAACCTCAGTCTGCTTTGAAAGCTTTTCCTGGGATAGACCTTGCTGATGCAGTTTAACTACCTTGTTGGCGTGTACAGTCTTGCCATGGTGTATGACCTGTGACATGAAATTCTTTCACAACCTCCCCTTAGTAGCAGAGTTTGGCTATTCCTCACCCAGTTAAAAGCCTCCTACAAAGCTGTTTTTGTTTCAGTTATTGACTGTGCTTCAACCTACATATGAAATTGATGATCTTTAGCACCTACTTGGTATAATTGCCAAGCATACACTTGAATCTAATCCTGCAAAATCCCTTACTTTGTGCAAGTATACAAAGTGTGCAACTGTAAGAACTGATACTGGTTTGAAGCCAAATGGTAGTCACACCAAAATATTTATTTGATTTTGGTTTTTCTTCTGTTCGTTCACTTTTGCATGTTGTAAATTGGAAAAAATAAACAATTAAGATATATATGCGTAAAACTTTTGCACAGTACTGGATATATATATATATATATATATATATATATATATATATATATATATATGTTTCAGGAGGGAGACAAATGAATGAATACATCACTTATGCTGGGGGAGAGAAGAAAGGGGGTCTGCAGGATATGCCCTCCTCCATCAGGCTCCATAGTAGTCAGGTGGGCTGCTAGTGCTATTGTTATGGCCTTCATTCATTAAATGTCATGAATTTGAAAGTAAACATTTGTGTCACACCCCCTGTGGTGATCCAGTGTTAAAAATATACAAAAAGTGAGGTTTAATGTATTGAAAGATAAGATGGATACCTGAAAATGTTCTTTTTCCAGTGTTGTTTGGTTCCATAGAAATATTTCTGCTCACACCAAGGAGTTTTGTACTGTCTAAAACTCTTCCACCTGGGAAGTAAAAAATAATACCAGTTTTATAATTCATTTTAATTTTTAATCATAATTTTCCATAATTCTAGAGTCATGTATTCCAAAAATGGTTCTTTAATGGACAATTTGTCATATGGAAAGTTTTTATACAGTGCCCTCTCATATTATGTATAACATAATAACATTACATGGCAATATATTAGCCACAAATAGGCTTTCGGATTTTCACACTCAATCACAATCAGGCTTATTCAGTAAAGCATGTACAGTGAAGCAGGGGTGGACTGACAGCTCATGGGGCCCCCGGCCATTAGGGGATCATGGAGCCCCTGTGTCCCTTGCCCAAGCTCAAAAAAGCCTATGAAAAAGGTACCAGGGGCATCTCATGGGGCCCCCTACTAACCCGGGCCCTCGGGTAGTGCCTGAGTTTCCAAATGGTCAGTCCGCCCCTGCAGTGGAGTAATCAATAGCAACCAATCAGAAATGATCATACACCAATCTAACTTCAGACCTGCTTGCTATAGGTTGCTCAGTATTGTTTATCATCACTGCTTTAAGTAATAAGTCTATATATCTATGTCTGGGTTCACTTCCTATGAAGATGGATTTCCATCACTCTTTAAAGTGATTTGCTACCATTCACAACTGACAAATGATTATTCTCACAAATTAATAAACAACAGTTACAATCCAATCCTTTGGTCAGTCTGATAGATACTGTATTTCAATAAAATATAGAAAATCTGATCTAGGGTTGGAGTTCTTTGTGACTGCTCTCAATGATTTACAGATGCTTTTGAGAAAAAAAAAAAACACAATGTGTTGGGAAAATATTAAGTTCTACCTAATGATTTTACTTTTTCAGATTTAATCTGTTCATTCTAAATTGAATCTAAAGTTAATGGAATGGAAAGCAAACAGATTTTTAAACAGCATTGATACATTTTTCTTACTAAATTTGCTGATACAAAATATGTGTATAAAGAACATAAAAAACAGGTGATTGAAAGAAAAAAACCTCTTTCTAAAAATGCCAGTTACTTTGCTATCTCTGGTCTCACTGGGGTTGATTTATTAAAACTGGAGAGTGAAAAATCTGCATAGAAATCTGCATAGAAGCCAATCAGCTTCCTACTTTTTCTTGTCAAAGCTTAAAGGATTTGTTCACATTTGGGAATGCATTACAGGTTCCATCCGTTTTTAGGGTGGAACATGTAACATGTTCCCACCGCTACAACTGCTGTCCGATCCCCAACCCTCCCTGTGACAGCAATACGGGAGAAGTTCAAACACAAATTGATTTTAATTGTAGAATAGCATAAATATAGAAAAATTTGCGGCACATTGGGGTTAATTTACTAAAATTGGTGAGTGCAAAATCTGGCACAGCTCTGCATAGAAATCAATCAGATTCAAGGCTTTATTGCCAAAGCTTAATTGAACAAGCTGAAGTTAGAAGCTAATTGGCTACCATGCACAGCGGCACCGTATGTTGCACTTTCCAGTTTTAGTAAATCAACACCATTGTGTTCTAAGTCACTGATAGGAAACAGGCATGCAGCCAGTGAAGCCAAAGAAAAGTCAGAACTCCTAATCCGCATACTTGATCCAGGTCATTGACTTCATTGCAGTGGCGGAACTTGAGGGGTCGCAATGGTGACCCCACACTTGCTCCGGGGGGAAGGGGGGGGGGGGGCTGGGAGGCCTGCCTGTCACATTAGCATATTTTAAAAAACAAATTCTATTTATTAAGTTGTGTATAAAATGGCATAAATTACACAACAGACCCTCTTGGGCATTCCCCTAGCTATTGGTGTACATAGTAGCCAAATACAATACAATAACATGATTAGTAAACCACACCCAAAGGACAAACACTCATTCAGAGTATCACTGTCATACATGAGTCAACCCAGATGTCCCATACCTTTTTGGAGCTTTTTGAGACACCCCCTTGCATGGTAGCTTGCTTTATACAAAGGAACTACAGAATTAACCAGTAGTTTCCAGGTGGTAAGAGTGAGGGCAGTAGCAGATTTCCATTGAAGCACTATTGCCTTTCAAGCATAAGTAATAAAGCAAGCAGGGTCCTAACTGTTCTAGTATGTGCCAGAGCTTCCGGTAATCCTAGAATACATATCACTGCAAGGAGTGGAATCCGTATAGTGGTTACCTTGAGAGTGCACTCCAGCACCTGATCCCATTATTGCTGTACAGAGCAGCATATCCAGATCATATGCATGAAATCAGCTGAGTCTGCCATGTATCTCCAGCCTACCAGGGGCATTGAGGATATATTTTATGGAGTTTTCTTCAGGTAACATAGACACGATGGAGTAATTTGAATTGTATAGGGTTATCTCTTGTGGAGACTAATTGTTTGAATGTGCCCTTCCAAATATCCTCCCAATCTTCGCTGTCTAAAGTATTTTATCTATTTATTACAGGTACCTATATAGCGCTGTCAATTTACACAGCGCTTTACATATATAGCGTACATTCACATCAGTCCCTAACCCTCAGAGGGTGTACAATATAAAGTCCTTAACTTACATTCAGCAGAAGTGCTAACCATTTAGCACTTAGGTACTACCTCCTCCCAGAACGCCCGCAAGTGTTACAGATCATGGTGATTACTGGGTTGTAAAGCCTTATAGAAGTTGGACAAGGGCTTCTCTATATCTTTATCTCTAAGTAATTGTTCCATAGTGGAGGGTTGAACTACTAGAGGAGAGGTTCCAAACTGGGCCCAATAGGCATGTCTTAATTGGAGAAACCTAAAGAAGTAATGTGTAGGGAGACTGAATTGTGCCTTTAAGGGATAAAATGTTTAAGGAACACCATTCTCACTGAGCTGAGATAGATATCGTACTCTCCTGGAGGCCCACAGAGATGGGTCAGAAGAGTTATATTGAACCATAAGGCCATGTAAGGAGAACAGGATGTAGAGCCAATCGACGACTTGGGTATCAAGTGTGTGTCCCAATGTCACAGGATGTGGCTACGTGAGCTGAAGGACTGCTGTCACTGCTGCTGATCTTTCACGCTGCTAACTCTGCTCTCTATCTACAGCAGCATTGCTAGCAACAGGTCTTCCTGGGTGTCCGCACATCATTCTTAAAAATCATTTGTTGGGCTGCTGAAGAGTTTCTCCTCTCCTACTCAGCCCGGACCTTGCAGGTAGCAGCCTTGTCATTTAGGTCCACCCCAAATGGAAACAACAGGGTGCAGGCGTGTGGAAGAGGCATCAAAGGTATTGAAACTGGAGTGTGTTTTCAGTGGTGGAACAGGTGCTCAGGAAGGGTGTAGTGGTGGAAGAGGAGGGCGTGCAGTGGTAGAAAAAATGTGGGTGAAGTGGATCAGGTGTTCAGGAGGGGTGCAGTGTTGGAACATTTGTTCAGGAGGGGCTGCAGTGATGGAACAGGAGGAGATGCAGTGGTGGAACGTTTTTAAGAGGGGACACAGCTATTTACCCACACTTGTGCACAGTCATATATACAGTAAATTATCTATTCATGCAGACATCCATTTACCCATACTTTCACACATTCATATACAGTCATTTACTCATACTTGCATGCAGCCATTTACCCATACACAATGGCATAGCTACAGGGATCACAGGGGTCATAATGATGATGACCCCACTCATGCTCCAGGGGGCCTGGGGACCTCCTTGTCACATTGGCATACCTCCCAATAGTCTCTTACCAAAATGACAGCATCTCATGAATCCGAGCTGTGTCTCACTGGCAGCTTGGCACTGAAGTACTCCTTTCAGCACCCGGCTGCCAGAGCTAATGGTAGACATGATAGCTATCTGGTATTCGGTGTATTCAACATTGCTGTGTGTCTGAGCTGGGCTTTTCTCTCCTTCAGCACACCACTGTACTGCATGCAAGCAGCTGTAGAGAAGAGGCAAAAGTGAGCCACTAGCCCTGTCTCCTAGACCGATGGAAATGCCCCCATGATGGGAGTCAGGGGGGGCCCTTCATGGTTTCTTGCACCGGGGCCCTGTAGGTTCTAGTTACACCTCTGCTCCATTGGATCTATTTGGATCTATTCATTTGACTCTACTGGATCAACATAACAACAAGGCAATTTGCATTTTTCAAAAGGAGGATTTAACAATGGCACATCATTTTTCCTTTAGGTCAGCATCTAAATGCTTATTTGTCAGTGAATATCTCACTGCAAGAGAAAAATACCCAAAATAAAGATGTGCCAACATTACAACATCATTCAAACCACAAAAGGAGAAGCAGCTCTCAAGTCCCATGCTCCCCAGCAGGACCACAGGAAAAAGGAGAAATGGAGGTCCCAGGTGGGGCAACTTTGCTTTTTTTTGGGATCAATAAAGTTTTATACAATGCTGATCTTCTCTGTGTGCAGCCAACTTTTTCCCCTGTGATTACAGCATCATTGTTTTGATAAGCAATCAAAACATGACATCCCACATGCTCAGATATTTTTATGGTTTACCACCATATATTGGTTAGGTATAATTAGAAATAAGTAACATTTTTAGAACTCCATGCTGGAAAATTACATCATTTTGGAGAACCATGTATAGAAGTATGTTACGCTATGTGGAAGACTGAGATTTATTGTTCCAGCTAGACTCATTTTTTATAACTTGCTATAAGTTTTGAATGGAATTTAGGAAGGCTGCATGGATTTTAGATGTTTCAGGTTCAAGTACAATGTTGTACATACAGTAAAGGGATATTTTTATTCACAAGTAGTAAATTAGACATTTAGTTAAATAAAAGTCTTAACAATCACCAGTGAATAGTATGTGCACATTACATATTTGCTGCACTTCGGTATATTTTTTATGTCTTGGGAAAAACACAATCTTTTAATTTCAGTCTTCTTTTCATTTGCCTAATTCCACCTACTACTTATGTATACTTCTATCTTGTAACATGGGCTGAACAAACATGGCATAATGTAATGGAAAAAACGAAATGACATGATAATCCTTTCTAAACGTATCCGCGTCATCACTGTTCCCA